GACCTCCCCCCGGCCCCCCCTCCCCCCAGTGTCTTATGCCCATTCGTTATGCTTATATGCATGCATACAAGTCCTTTAGTTGATCTCTTACCCGCCCCCCAGCCCGCCAACCCTCCCTGGACTACCCACTGTAGTTTAACAGTCTGTTCAATGTTGCTCTGCCACTGTATCTATTTTTGTTCATCAGTTTATAATGGTCTTAATTATCCATAAATGAGATCATGTGGTATTTTGCTTTCATTGACTGGCTTATTTCACTTAATATAATGCTCTCGAGTTCCATCCATGCTGTTGCAAATGGCAAGATTTTATTCTTTTCTATGGCTGAGTAATAGTCCATTATGTATATGTACCACATCTTCTTTATCTAATCATCTATTGATGTGCACATGGGTTGCTCTCATATCTTGGCTCTTGTAAATAATGCTGCAGTGAACATAGGGGTACATATATCTTTGAAATAGTGTTTTAGATTTCTTTGGATATATACCCAGATGTGGAATTGCTGGGTCATAAAATAGTTCTATTTTTAACTTTTTTGGCGCCGGTGGGCGCTGGGGTCAGTGGAAGGCGCTGCATTTGGGCCCTTGGACTGACACGCAGCTGTGCGACTTGGTGCATCTCTTTGGCTCGGTCCACATACGTTGCTTTTGTTTCATGGAGTCAACGCTTTCCAATCAGGAGGCTGAACAAACCAGATCCCAGCTTCTCCCAGACCCGAAGCCTGACACCCCAGGCCCTCGCTGCTGCCCGGCGCCCCTGGGGGCAGCTGGGAGCGCTGTCCTGGTGCTTCAGTCCCCACCCAGCCCGGCCACGCCCTCTGAGCCCCCGGGGGCGCTAGAAGCCCCAGACTGGGACTGACTCAGACCTCTGGCCAGCCTCAGAGATGATGGGAATCCACACACTCGCTGTGATGTGTGCAAGAACGCGTGACAGCAACAGCCCGGGCTCTCAGGTTCCCAGCGCGCTGCTTGTGCCAGGCGCTCTGCGCAGCGCTCGATTGCGTTAGCTCACACACTCCCCAGCACCT